GGAGAGGCAGCGGTGCTGTCGGGCCGGTGCGGCTCCGGTAGCGCCCCAGCAGCCCGTTGTCCCTCCCTGCCCCCTCAGTCAGGCCGCGACCTGCAGCAGTACCAGAGCCAGGCGAAGCAGCTCTTCCGCAAGCTGAACGAGCAGTCCCCGACCAGATGCACCCTGGAGGCAGGAGCCATGGCTTTCCAGTGAGTACCGGGAGGGGGGCGGGGGATACCGGCTCCGCTGCCGTGGCAGTGACCGAGGGCTCACCTGGGTCCCGGTGAGGGATTGCTGGAAACGGGGAGGCCTGGAAGAGGTGGCCGGTCAGCCCTGCTGGAAAGGGAGAGCGTGCGAGCTGTCACTGCTGGGCGCAGGTGTCTGCCACTCGGTTTTCATCCAGGTTCCTTGTTCTGCCTTTGCTGCAGACAATACAGGTTCTGTTCCCTTTCTGCTTTTTTGTTTCTTTGCGCTCTCTGTTGTGCCTTGGCTGCGTCTTCTGGGCCTCCTGTCTTTAAAGAGATGTGTCCTTGTGAAGGCAGTCTGGCAGTGCCACCGTGAGCTCCTCCTGTGCAGGATTGTCCTCTCTGTGCCCTGTGAGAGCTCAGCTTTCCGTGCATTACAACACACCGAGCATCTCTTGACTATTTCTATTATTATTGTCTTAATATCTGACAGACTTCTTTCTCTCATCCAATTGAAATTCAGTCTTATTCTTGCTAGATTTGTTGGGCGTGTTTAATTAATTTCCTTAACTGTTTGGGAACTCTGGACTTCAAAGCACTTTTGGCATTCTCCAGTAGCATTCCTGCAAGAGAGCATGGATGTGAAAATAAGGAAACCCTACAGAGGTCAGACATCCTTATTTCTTAATAGCAGGGGAGGTGGAGAGGCAGATGAGCAGAGGGGGAATTGCCAGTCCCTGAAAGGCAGGAAAGCTTGTGTGTGAGGAAGGAGATGCTTCTTTCTGTGACATGTCATTACCTGGCAGAATAATGCTTGAGAACTTAGTCAAGATCCTGCCAGAACTGTGACAGGAATACCCTCAGGGAGTCTCAAAGCCCAGGTGCCGGGTGGGGTCTGCAAGCAGAGTTGTGTCATTGTGGCAGGAATGTGCCAGGATTCCCACAGCAGGATCCCCCTGGGCTCCAGGTGACTCCGGGTGCCTGGGTGTGTGTTTATGGCTGCCTGAGGGGGAGGTGGCCTTTGAACACAGGGCAAGGTTGGTTTCAGGCCTCTGCTCCAAGAGCCCTTTAGCAAATCTCCCACCCTGTCCCTTCCCTCAGAGATTCAGCGACGTGAAGAGATGGCAATGGGAGTTTTTTGGGTGGGAAATCTTTGGTAAAAGCCGTGAGGTTCTGAGGGATGCTTTTCTTGTGGTTGTCTTACATATGCTAACCGCGACAAGATTTTGAAAAAAATCTCTCTGGGCTTCTGGTTGCCTTTGATAGGGAGCTAGAGTTGTCAAAGGATGGCCCTGATTGTCCCTTATCTCCTGTTGGATTGGGATGCTGTTGCTGGGGTTAAGTGCTAAGGGCTGCTCTTGTTTTTTTTTCTACAAGCTAAATCTTCACAGAATTTAAAAACTCCCTGGTTTCTGAGTGTCCCCTTGGCACAGCATGGGTGCAGCTCTGCCTGGCAGTGAATTCTTGGGAAAGAGCCTGTGTAGGTGCCAGTAAATCCCTTCTTGAGTTACTTCCATGATGCAAGCCGAGCGATGTCTGGGAAGGCAGCAACACTTGCCCAGGAAATCAAAGCCTCTTAGCAGTGGCTGTAATGACAGCAGTTGTGACGAGGAAGGAGGGCTTGGGCAGGCCTGTTTTGCCAGCTGTCTCAGAGGAGCAGCCAGCTTACCTGGCTGGCAGACAGGCAGGCACAGGAGTGTTCCTCCTTCTGGGCTGACTTACTCCCTGGGTAGGTTTTGCTGGCCACTGACAGCTGCTGCTGCAGAGCACTTGCTTCTGCCTCCTTTGAGGTGGGACATTACAGCAGGGCCTGTGTTGAAAGAACACTTTCAGGTCAGAAACTTTCCTCTGCAGGAAGGGGAGGTGACAGGGGAATTTGAGATTTAGTCTAAAATAACGCTGACAGATGACCACGCCGCTCGTTAACGCAGCACAACCAATCTTTTTCTGCCACATCAGAGCTCTGACTGCTGAGGGCAGCACAAAGCAGGACAGAGCATTTAATGGGGGGAGTTAGCAGCGTGGCCAAGGGTACTGCTGAGCTTGCTGAGGTGGTGTTGAACGTCTTTAGCTTCATCAGTTCAAAGCAGAGATGAGCCTTACTGAAACTTGAAGTGTAAATTGTGAGCACTTAGGTGATTTCAGTCAAATGCTATGCCCAGGTTTCAGCTGCAAAAGCTGTGTCACCCTTCCAGCATCAGCACTGGGGACTGTGCAGGTTCAGGAGCACCGGCTGCTGTGCTGTCAGTGAGCAGGTGACCTTTGGCTGAGGAATGGCTGCAGTGACTCTTACCTGTCATTTAACAGCAAGCCTTGGCCTTTGTTACTGTTACTGGGATAAAGCTTTTCTCTCTCAAAACCTGCAACATGATTACAAGGAACCTGCTGGCTGCACTCTGCAGAGCTAACAGTGGCAAATGGCCACATCTGCCCCTTGTGTGGACATGCAGGCAGGTGCTGTGCTGAGGCTTGGAGGTGCACACAGAGTATAAAACTGAGGAGCCCAGCTGTGCAGCAGCTCTGGTCTGAAGTCAACAAAATTGTCTGAATCTGGGGCAGAGTGAGGTGAGCTCACCCTCTGTGGTGCTGACAGACCAACTTTAAATCCAACACACTGAATGTCACACCAGGGAGAAGGAAGTGGGAAATGCAGCTGAAGAGCTGCAGGCGGGACCAGCTGGCCCAGGCAGAGATAAACAGACCTGTGCTGATGGAACCTGTTCCTCAGAGTGCTCTCACCTGGAGAGTGCTGCTCCAGCTGTGCTGTCAGAATTCCCTTCTGGCACTGCTTCTCCTCGCCTCAAAAGATTTGTTCAAGTCTTGCTCGTCGTGGCAGTGGTTAAATCAAGCTCTGGATGATGATCTGTAGCAACCCCAATGTGGCAAGCAGGTCTCCAGGGCTAAGGGAAGAACAGAGGCTTGATGATGTAGTGTAGTATTAATCTGGGCATTGATGCAGTCCAAGCTGAGGAACATAAAAAGGAACAAAGGCCACGGGCACGTGGGGATGTGCTGTGGAACGGATTATGGCAGCTGGAGTTTCTTGCTTCTGGTTGGGGTGAAGCAGTTGTTGATTGAAGGCTGCCAGGGTTCACACACAGACCATATAGAGGCAGGAGAAATGGATACTCCTGAGCCCAGGAACAAGGTGAGGATGGCTGCTTTAGAGGACATGGCCCTGGTGGGGTGTCTGGAAAAACACTGAGGAGGGGGGGAAGTTGTTTTGTAAGCCAGATTGTGTTTATTAACAAAATTTTAAGCTGCTTATTTTACTACAGTGCCCTCAGGACCTGGATCATTTCTTTAATACACTGCTAATCTTTATGCTAACCAGACTAATGCTCAATGGCATTACTCAGAAAGCCAAAGGAAGGTAACCTAAAAGTAGCATTCACACTCCACCCTGAGGAATACAGATAAGCATTCAAAAGTGTTTACAGGGCTGTTTACTGTCTCCACCCCCTTGGTTTTGGTGGGAGTATTGTAGCCTTTATTTTTATATTGGCTGAGCAAGGAGGAAGATTCAGTTGGGAATGTGGAGCAGAGGAGTGAAGCCTAAATCATCTCCAGGTTGGTGCTGGGGTGAGAAGAGAACCCTTGTGCCCTCAGCACAGCAGCAGCTGTGCCACTGTGTGCTTTGGAGCTCCTCACCTTGGAGAACTGATGGCATGGTCACACCTACCCATGGCGAGCCTAGGAGGTCACCAGAACCCATCTAGCGCCAGCACCGCTCCCCAGCTGCCCCTGTGGTGATGCATGTGCATAGCAGCACCCTTCCAACTCCCCTGCAGGCTGCTGGTGGTGGAGGAAGGCAATATCCAGCCCTCTGAAATGGAGAGGGACAGCTGGCAGTCACTGGGTGACTCCCCAGCACGCTGAGACCAAATTCCTGTGCCTGTCTCCTCACCTCAGTGCCTCAGCTTCCCATTTGTGGGTCTCAGGTACTTGGCTGTGCTGCCAGTTAGGGATGTGTTGGCCACCTTCCCCTCTGCTCTGCTGGCAAACTTTCCTGTGCTCCCCTCCTCCTGCCTGCAGGGTGTCCTCTCTTCTATATACTCCTAAATTACAACTCTTTTGTCTCTGGTATTTTGTGAAGCTAATGGTATTCACAGGCCAGCTTTTATTCATCTGAAGTCAAAGCCCAAGACTGTTGGCATGGGTGTAGGGTCTGAGGCTACAAGAAAATTTATTTTGGCTAAAGAAAAGTTAAGCCATTGCTTTGCAGAAAGGTTTGCACTTGATCCAGACATAGAAAACCAGAAGTTCTTGTGCCCAGTTCTCATTGCCTCATAGGAATAAAGGTGTGCAGGGTGGTGTTTGACAGGACAGGTTTAAAATTGACTGATTGATTGACTGGTGCTCTCTGCCATTGTTTTAGCTACATCATCGAGAAAGGAGTGTGTTACCTGGTCCTGTGTGAAGCTGGATTCCCCAAGAAACTGGCCTTTGCATACCTGGAGGACTTGCACTCAGAGTTTGATGAGCAGCATGGCAAGAAGGTTCCCACAGTGTCCAGGCCCTATTCCTTCATTGAATTTGGTGAGGCCCCTCTCCCTGTGGCTAGTCAGGGAACCTCTTGCTGGGAGGGAGCAGCAGCCACGGGATTCTCTGCAGCTTGTCCTGTGGAACTGACAGCTCAAATTCTTCTTGGTGCTCGAGACATGGATGTTGTGAGCAGGAGAGCTGAGAAGTGCTAGGGAAATGGTACATGTCCTTAGATTCAGATTTCCTGCTTTTAGTCTCTTGGCCTCACTCCAGTTGAATATTTGCATGTAGTCTTCTGGCTGTCTCAGCAGTGCTCCCGCTCCTCCTGCAGCCAGGAGCTCTGTGCTGGGTGAGACTCCCCCTGACAGCCCTGTCTCCTTCCAGACACCTACATCCAGAAAACCAAGAAGCTCTACATCGATAGCCGGGCGAGGAGGAACCTGGGCTCCATCAACACAGAGCTGCAAGATGTGCAGAGGATTATGGTGGCCAACATCGAGGAGGTCCTGCAGCGAGGAGAGGCCCTGTCAGGTACTGGGGATGGCCAGTGTTTGCTCACACTTCTGTCTCCTTCGGGCAGCTGGGTGGGCAGAGTGTCCTGGGGGGAAAGGCTTCACCCTGCTGAGAAAAGCAGTGAAGCCAGTGGGTGTTTCAGCTGGAACAGCTGGATCCTGAAACATCTGTGCTTCTGTGGGGAGAGAGCAGCGCCTCTCAGCTCTCATGCCAGCAGGAATAGCCCTGGAGCACGGCAGGGAGGCACCAGCCACAGAGAAACTTGTGCACTTTATGTAACATTTGGGGAACAGTCAGTTAATCCTAACTCCTCTCCCCTTTTCCCTTTGGCAGCTCTTGATTCCAAGGCCAACAACTTGTCCAGTCTGTCCAAGAAGTACCGGCAGGACGCCAAGTACCTGAACATGCGCTCCACGTACGCCAAGCTGGCGGCCGTAGCCGTGTTCTTCATCATGCTGATTGTCTATGTGAGGTTCTGGTGGCTGTGAGCCCGCCCAGCCGTGGAAGAGGGAAAGCCAGTAGCCTGGCAGGTGGATGTGTGCAGGACACTGCTCATGGGGGATGTGCATTAGAATCCACACAGGACCATCACCTTCGCAGGAGTGTCCTGGAGCTGTTAGGTGGCACCACCTGGCTACTGCATCTCTTAGTGGAGCCTAACACTTGGTGTAAAGGCTTGTTGACTGCAGGCTTTTCCTCTGAGGCAGTTTGCACTAGGATACTGCAGAGTTTGGCCTCCCAAGGTTCTTCCCCCTCCTGGGGCACTCTGGGAACAGTCAATCAGTGCTGTTTAGCATAATCACATTGTACATCCTCCTGTTGAGTAGCTCTAGTGGGAACTGGACTCTAATGAACATTCCTTGTGTTGGTAATGTTTGCTTTTTTAGAATCTGGGTCTGCGGTTATTTTTCTTTCTTTCTTTTTCGAGACTCCCCCGTTTGAAGGCAAATATTTCACTGTACATAAAACCAGCTTTCACCTCTGTCAGAATACCTGTTGAGTGTTCTGTGTCTGACCTCCTGGCTTGTTACACTTTAAATTGCTTTAGGAAGAAATGGATGTTGAACTATGCCTTAAGATACATTCTGTCCAGTACTAGGAGGGGCAGTGGGAGGCTTCTGTATTGACTGGTTCCTGCAAAATTAAACCCCGGGTTTCTAAGTGTCCACTCTCCCTCTCCTGACAGCTGTGTGTGACAGTGTGTTTCCACGTGAACAGGGTGTGTAATTCATTGCTGTTGTAATGGGCACAGTGCAAACTATGTCAGCACTCTCTATTTTTCCCTTCTAGCTGCAGATTCACTACATTATTTCCTTCCTTTTTGTAACTGTGCTTTCTTTCTGAAATGTGTCAAAACTGCCAGCATTTCATCTCTGGGATCCTTGTTTTCTTTCTCCCTCTTTTCCTCACCCAAAACAACCAAAAAAGCAGAACTCTGAATGTTGTTGTGAAGAAAGGGCAGTGTTTCTTTAAAGAACACTTTAACTTTACATGAAGGATTAGGATAACTTTAAAACAGTGAAATCCTTTAGAAACACAACCTCTTTTATCCGTGGTCACCTTCTCCCTACCTCACTTGGGAAGCTGAAACTGTAGGTGAAGAAAAACTCATTATGGGGCAATAGTATAGAGCTTTCTTATGGGCCAATCTCTGTATCACCAGTGTAATGTGGTTATTTTTTTTTTTAATAATTGTTTTTGGTCCACCTGTGCTAAGGAATAACATTTTAGCAGTCAGATTTTGGTTTGATTAGGGGAAAAAAAAAAAAAAGGAGAGAGAAAAAGAAGAAACCCCGCAGCTCAGGCGCTCTGCTGCACTCAAGTGTCTGCCACTTGGTAAAGGAAGCAGGTGGTGTCACAGAAGGAGGTGTCAGGACTGCCCAGCACCTTTTACAAGCACATAACCTCGTGCAGTTCTGGATGTACAAACTGTGACCTGGAAGTGTTTCCTGCCACTGGCTGGGCAAGCACAGCTCTTGTCCTGTCTGGGAATGCTCCTCAGCTTGGCACCTCGTTGGACTGGCAGAATGCAGTCAGCACTCGTCCACCGATGAACCCCGCAAATCTGAGCTAAAGTGATCCGGTTTCTGCATGATGCCTCTAAGTGTTACTTTGTAGGCTGCTTTATTCTGATTATTATCGTTATTTTAAGTCCTTTGAAGTGGTGTCCCTAGCAGGTGAATGTCCCAGTGATGTAGGTGTGTGTAATGTTAGGTGCTGGAAGGTCTCACCGTTCAGACACCGTGGATTGTTGTGGCTGAGGGGGGGAGATGTTTCTGCAGCACGGGGGAGCAGCTGCCTCCTGCAGCCCCCGTGTCAGCAGTGAAATAAATGCTTCTGAAAAATCCCCTCTGCGGCCCGGAGCGTCCTGTGTCTGCTTGCTGTGCCCCTGGGGCTGCTTTCCTTCCTCCCACAAGAGGCTGAGGAGCCCATAGATGGAGCCAGCTGGGATAAGGATTCCCTTTGGGAGGCAGGAGTAGTTGAAAGAGGTGATCCTGGCCGTTTTCTGCCGGAGAAGCTGAACTCTGGTTCTAGCAGGGCTCTCCCTGCTGCCCCATCTCTGCCTGTCGCAGGCACCTCTGGGCGCGGCTGGGAATTTACGGGGATGGTGTGGCCGTGCTGTTGGTGGGGGCAGCAGGAGCAGCAGCTCGGCCTGGCAGAGCAGGGGGTGTGTGTCCTCAGCGAGAGCCGGGCACGGAGCTGCGCCCGCCGAGGAGTCCTCGGGGCCCTTGCAGCAGTTTCCGAGCACGGAGCCCCTCTTGGATCCCCCGAGGAGAGCGAGGTGCTGCTGCCGCTGGGCTCTGCGCGCCTCCTGGGCGCTGAGCTGCGCTCCTGTGCGGCTCCGAGGGGAGGGGGAGCCGCTGCCC